GGAGCTGGGGTTGTTTAGTCTGGAGAAGAGGAGGCTGAGGGGAGACCTTATTGCTCTCTACAACTACCTGAAAGGAGGTTGTAGTGAGGTGGGGGTCGGTCTCTTCTCCCAAGTAACAAGCGATAGGACAAGAGGAAACGGCCTCAAGCTGCACCAGAGGAGGTTTAGTTTGGATATTAGGAAAAATTTCTTCACCGAAAGGGTAGTCAGGCATTGGACCAGGCTGCCCAGGGAAGTGGTTGAGTCCCCATCTCTGGAGGTATTTAAAAGACGGGTAGATGTGGGGCTTAGGGACATGGTTTAGTGGTGGGCTTCGCAGTGCTAGGTTAACGGTTGGACTCGATCTTAAGGGTCTTTTCCAACCTAAACAATTCTATTGATTAACTACTAGTAAGTCTTATATAAAAAAAAATAGCTGGCAACCATCCAAATTTACAGTCCTCGAAATATAGGCAGCCCCATCTTGCTCTGAGCTGGAAGACCATTAACAGTTCTAGTAAAGTTTACATATAGTAGACATGGTCAGCTAAACTAGCTGACAAGTTTTTAACTTCATTCTCAATTCCAGTCACCTTTAGTATTATCAAGCTTTTAGCACAACATTGCAGCTGTAGTTAAACATCAGAACTAACTTGATAAAATGATTGGTAACAACTAGAATCACATTCCTCAGTTGTCACTGGTGTATTTCACTGAGCTCCATCTGTTCCTAGTCCTTTTTAGGTGCATATTATGCATGTTACCACTCTGGTAAGCAAGTAGCTATGTGCATTTCCCATGGTTTTTCTCTCTCCTCAGCTCTATTTATGTTGTGTGTATCTATACTTTTGAAGTGTTATCTCAAATTCACAGTATTTAACTCTATTACTTTCCCATCTAATCCAAGACCCTGCTTTTGTCTCCTTCTCTGGTCTGCCTAGGACAGAGACCTCTTATTTCAGCTATAAAAGGAGCTTCTCCAAATCCACCTTGTAAACATCATTGAATTTATTCTGGAACTTGATCCTGTCACCAAAAAAAGGCACCATAGTTACCATATTTACAGAGAAGGACAATACAGTTGGAAGTTATATTTAACATTTCAAGTATATCTTTTCAGTACCATCTAGGAACTTCAGGTTGAGTATAAAACCTTAATTGACAGTCTTGCGAAATTGTAGAAGCTAACTAAAACACAAGCTTCAGGCACTAAGACAGCACACTAAACTTCTGGTAAATCCCTGCATTGCCAACTTCAAAAGCCATGGCTACCTTTTAGAAGCATTGCATTTACAATGTAAATACAGGCATAGAGCATGCACTGTAAATGCAAAGGTGCTACTTTCCAAAGTTAAACATTTGGGGAATGTTTGGCTGGTTTCTCTGAGTAACTTGCATCATAATTTTGGCATGCTGACTTCTTCAGCTATAAATGGAGCATCAAAAAGATCAACCCTATCCATAACTGGTTTTCTTTAATAGCAAGGTCAGGGTGAAATCAGACCCTGAAGAAGCTACAGCTAAGCCTGAACTGGAAAATAATTTTTCCCCCCCTCAAGTGGTGGGACCTTAATTTCACCACTAGGGAAAATATTGTTTAGCCACTTCAAAAATTTGCTGTCACACAGTTCTTTTAACAAAAGGTGTTTAATGGTCTTACATTAATACTACTTCTGGATTTACCAACAGTAGACCAGAACACTACCTGAGTGCCAAATGGAGCAGAGGTGGGTCCAAGGAAAACATGCTGGTAGCCTAAAAAGAGCTGGCTGATGATTTGATACTGGCTGTTCTTTCCTCCTTCCCTATTCCCACTAAGTTCTGCTTAAGACAGCTAAAAATACCTTGCTGTAATAAAGTTTTTTCCATGTAAGCATTCCTGGTAGCTGGCAAAGATGTATAGTCATATTAGAAATAAAAAGGGTTATGCAACTGCAGATAGGTGGGAAACCAGATTTACTTCTGAACAGAGGAATAAAAATGAGGCAAACCACAGAAAAAAACAAACTTGGAAAGATGCCAGCCCACAACACCAAGCGATCAATAAAATAGTCTTTGAACCTCCCTTATGCAGCATGTACTCAGATTTTCCTTCTGCTTGACAAGCATCAAACAAGAAACTTGGATTTAACATCTACATGAAGACTTCATTTCCATCTAAGAGAGTAATCTCCAGTCATAGAGAGGATGTGGAGCTGCTTTATCACCCACAGAACACATGCGGTTGGCCACAGGCTTCATCAGTTCTAGGTGCTTCTCCACACCACCTACTCCAGTAGCTGTACAGGAGATGGCCAGAGCCCTTCCTGCACCTTCTACCAGCAGATGGATTTATATTATTCTAAAACTAGGTGCGAGAAGGGGGAGAAACCATACCACAGATAAGTGTCAGTGTGATTGATCACTGCTGTGTTGAACTTCAGAAATAGCGGCTGTTCTGGTTACAATTGTTTTTTTCTGTTATTTCTTTGTTCAGTTGAGAGCAATTGCATATTAACCAGCTGCTGCAATGGCAAATTCCCATGTTATTTTTAAGCAGGTAACTTCAAATTGACACTTCTTTGAATAGGCTCAGGCAGTCATGCTCCTTTGCAAAGCTTCTTCCTACTACCATGACTCACTTTTAGAAAGAAAACAGCAACACGTCTGGGCTGAAACAGGCCATCAGGACTGCACAGGAAAATCAAGCAGCCACAGACAGGCAGGAGCTTTTGCCTTATAATTCCATTAAATATAAACCAAGGTTGATACCAGAAGTATACCCTAGAGTCCTTTATATAGTATTGGTCCTTATATAGGCACAATATAGAGACGTCCTGGTGTTATGCTGCATTAACACTTACTACTATTTTGACTCTGTTGACTAGCAGAGGGCAATGACTTTAGACTGTTTACAGAACCCCTCCCGATATGCACAGCATGCCTTGGGTTCTTTTGCTCCTCTTTGAAGTAATTTACAGCACAGGCTTAAAGAAGGGAAACAGAAGCAAACCCCTGCCTGTCGCCCCACCCAAGTCTCTCTGCTAGAAAAGAATAAGCTTTACAAGTAAAACTTGCAATCTACGGAAGCAGCAGGAACTTTAAGTTCTTTAATATTTAGGATTTTTAAGATTTAGGAACTTTAGATTAACATCTGGTTAACAGTACCGTAATGCCCTTTACCAGCATTTCACTTGTTTCTGAGAAATCCATTTGTAAGCCTATGGAGCATCCAGAGCTGTTCTGGCAGCAATGCGCGCCTATCAGTGACAGCTATTTGACCATGCTATCCTGTTTCTGAGCATCTGTCTGATTGTTCAGTAATATCAGTCAGCTATAATCTAGTTCTCTTCACTCCTCCATCCTGCTGTTTCTCATGTTTGTTTTGTTCGTTCTTTTTAAAGTGCACAAATAGATTTCATAGAAACTTCCTCGTAATGGGATTAAATAATCTCCAACTTTTTCTCCCTACTCGCTAATGCTTACTCTATAATGAAAATATGTTCTCTACACCACACACATCCTGAACACAAGTTTCTTCTTAATCTATGCTCTAGTACTTCATTTCTAAAAATACACACAGGAATGAAGAGAAACTCGCAGCCACTTTGTGGCTTCTTGCAAAAAGCCACAGACATGAACGGAAGGGTCTCTGCAACCGGAGAATTATTTGCTACTCTTAATGTTTCTAGCACAGCTTTCAAGTATTTGCTCTTCCACCAAAGCCTACCTAATTTTAAAGTACAGTGACTTTTATTTCCTAGATGGACTTTTGGAGGTGTAACCATGTGGCTTCACAAGAAGTTTTCCTAACAGCTAACATCTCACATCCCCACCTTAAGGGCACAAAATTCCTTTAAATCTACCAAAATGTACTCACTCCACTAACTGAGGTCTTATTTCAGATATTTAGTTTCAATACTTAGAACTCCTCCATTATTTTTCAATTCCTCTGGGGTT